ATTTGGATGTAAATTTAAAAAAATAAAAAATAAAACAAGTTATATATATATATATATATATATATCTATATAAAAAGATATACACCTACCACAAAACCCAGCCATTCTACTACTAGGTATTTACTCAAGAGAAATGAAAGCATATGTCTAATCTACACGAAATCTTGTGTACAAATGTTTATAGCAACTTTATTTGTGATAGCCCCAAACTAGACACAAATGTGCACCAACTGGTAAATGGATAAACAAATTTTCATATGATGGAATACTACACACAACAACATAGATGAAAAAAAAGAATTCTACTGAATAGAAAGCAAGACATAAGAGTATATAACATTTGATTCCATTTATATAGAACTCTAAGGAAAAGCATATAATCTTGTAGTGACAGAAACAGATCAGTGGTTGCCTATTACTGGGTGGGAGGATGGAGTCAAGGATGGATTTCAAAGGAATATAAGTAAACTCCTGGGGGTAATGGATATGTTTCCCCCCCTCCTTTTTTTTAAGAGACGACATGAGTTGGGGAAGGGGCAGAGAGAGAATCTCAAGCAGGTTCTACACTCAGCATGGAGCCTAATACAGGCCTCGATCCCATAATCCTGGGATCACGACCTGAGCCAAATTCAAGAGTCGGACGCTCAACCGACTGAGCCACCCAGGTGCCCTGTTCATTATTTTCATTGTAGTGTTGGTTTCATGGGTTTATATATGTCACCTGAGCAAACTGATCAACATTTTACATACATGCAGTTTATTGGATGTCAGGTCTATCTCAATAAGCTGTTACCCCCCCAAAACTTGACCTATGATAGGCCCTCAGAATACATTTGTTGCAAGACAGAAGGACTACCACTGGTGATGTGGAGATGTTCCTAGAGGAGTAGAAGATCTAGGGGTTCAGATCGTGCTGGGTCTTAAAGGTCAGAAGAATTTGGATGTTGTACAGAGAAGCAATTTTGGTTTTAATGATCAGAGCAAGGATATAATGAAATCGCTGTTTTAGAAAAATCCTTTTGGCAGCAGTGTGCAAGACAGATTGGAAAGGGATGCAGAAAGATCAATCAAAAGGTGTCTGATCTACATATGTGATGATGGTAAGGGCCTGCTTTAGAGGATGGCCTAGGCTTGGGAAGGAAGGGACAGTAGGAGATAATCTGAAGATAGAATTGTCAAGACTTCTAGAAGAAGGAGTAATTGTTTTTGTTTTTGTTTTTTGATAAAGAGGGCACAGGTCAGTGAGGGGCAGGGAGAGAGAGAATCCCAGGAGAGGTGGGGGGGGGG